CAATCCTTTGATTCTCTTTTTCTGATTAGACTGGCAGTCGTCATCCGTGCAAAGGTGCCCCCGTGCCTTACAAGCGTAACACCATGGGTCTTGGGTGTGACTGACGGGGACTGAGCATTCCTTACAGCCGTGTGAATAGCGCCATTCTTCGTTGAGGGGGAAAGGGTAGGATGGGTCCCAGTCTACAGCCACCAACAGGGAGTCGTCCCATTTGCCCATGAATTGCGGCAGGTCGGTGATGTACCCTTTCACATGGGCAATGTTCTCAAGATCAGTAAGGATGGCACCCTGCATGCAGAGCAGGGCAAATCTGAACTCCACCCTGAAGTTTGTTTTCATTAAGAACTCTCTTTTTTCGTCACTGGACTCCGGGTCTATTGGGGACCATGCTGTTGCGTGCACAGGTTTGCCTTTGAACTGCAGTGCCTTGTTTCTCAGTAACAAGTGCTTGTCTGTTGAGTAAAGAGCCACCACTGTGATGCAGTCTGGGTTGTCCACACATTTTCAAACTCACACCATGACTGCAGTGCCACTTTGTCGTTTTTTGCCTATTTCAAATGAAGAGTGTGACACAGCCACAGTTTCCTCAAGGAAAAATAAAGAAAGAAAAGGAAGGAGAGAGAGAGAGAGAGAGAGAGAGAGAGAGAGAGAGAGAGAGAGAGAGAGAGAGAGAGAGAGTTCCAAGGTCATACAGTCCTACATTCTTCTACATATATGACACCATTCAGAATACAGGATATAATCCAGAAATATAATATAATTCCAAATACAATGTAATACTCACCCCAAAAGGTCTACTAGATACATACACCTGGGGCGAGGTCCTATTTGCCCCAGTTCTGCCCCTTGTTTCCCCCCCTTCCCCCGTAGGTGTCATGGTTACAAGCCTACAATCAAGAGGTGATGGGAGCCCCTTCTGTCCTTTGGGGCATCTGTTGAAATTGGAACGATACAGAGAAGATCAGCACCGGTCCTGTGCAAGGATGCCACTCATAAATCAAGAAATGGTCCAAAAAATAGGAAAAAAGTGAGGTACGTCGTGCTGCCCGTAACCTAGTAGTTGGGGATGGGAGGCCTGGTAGAGGCTCGGTGACGAGGATAGGAGGGTTGAGGCAGGTTTTGGTTTTGCATGCTCACTGAGAATGAGCCATCTTATGGCCTCTCTGAGATCGAGTTTGTTTCACTAATGTTTTGCTTAAGATGTTAGTAGTTACTCATGACTTTTCCAAAATTCTTCAAATTGTTCTCAGCCGAAGCCGGTAAAGGCCTCGGTAGAGTCGGTACTTCAAATGTTCTATACAATTGCTTATGGGACGCTGAGCCCGGTTCCTAGCACGTGCTGCTCCCCATGAATAGATTGGAGCATTTGTCCCAAAGAAAAAGAAAAAGAAAAAAACAAAAAAGAGAAGAGCCCCTTCTCTATGGTGCATGGTAACCGACCGGACGTCCGGACCCGGTTCCAGACAGTCCGGAGCCAACTGTCCGGGTCCGGTGTCCGGTACCGAACGTCCGGGAATAGGGGCCCAGCCATAAATTCAAAAAAAAAAAAGGGGGCAGCCCAGGACACTTACCGGGTCCTAGGCGCCCCCTGAAAAATATGGGCCTGAATTTTCAGGCACGATTCGGCCTACCGGACGCTACCAGACACAGGTGAGTGAAGGTGGGTGTTGTGCTGGGTGGTTGGCGGGGCGATTTCAAATTTGCCGATTTCGAATCCCCCGCTAGTCCTGGCTGCCAGTTCCCTCCTGTTCCCCGCCCGTCGTTGCTGCCTGCTCCCTCATGTGTGTCCTCGCAGCATCTGCCGAAGCCGTCGCTGAGGCCATCGCCAACCAGCCGCCGGAGTGAAGCCATCGCCGAGAAGCCACCTACTAGGAGTCCCAGCCAGCCGCCCCCAGTCGACGACGACTCCAGCTTGCAAGCAGGTCGGTCTCTCTCTCTCTCTCTCTCTCTCTCTCTCTCTCTCTCTCTCTCTCTCGTCGCGTTGGATCTTGCTGCCGTTCGATGTTGGGGTTATGGGTCTCTCTCTCTCTCTCTCTCTCTCTCTCTCTCTCTCTCTCTCTCTCTCTCTCTCTGTCTCTCTCTCTCGCGCGCGCGCGCGCGTCGCGTTCGATCTTTGTAGCGGACCTCTGGTTGGCCTGTGAGACCAGCCCCTTGTCCTGTTCTCACAGGCCTGCGTTGTATTCAGGGTAGTCCAGTCCAGACCGGTAACTCTGCCGGTACCAGCCAGTCCAGTCCTGTCCAGTCAGTCCGCTCTGGTACACCCCAACAGAGTCTGTATTTCGGATCATTCTACATTCGCACATTTTGGAGTACGTGCGTTGGAGTCTCGCGTGGGAGCTGCGCTGTGCCATCTTGCATTACTCTCATCCTCCCTCCATCTCTATCCCAGGCGGAGCACCACACCTGGTGGGTCCGCCACACTGGTATCAGAGCGGGAACGTTCCCCGCTCCCACCCACCACACCGCATAGCAGGAAATACTGCAAAAACCGACAACAGGTTTTTTGGCTGTTTTTTGGCCGTTTCCAGCGGAAAAGAAAAGGTGACGCAACGTGCAGTGGCGAAGGAGCGACACGTGGCAAGAAAAGTGAGATAGAGGTGAGGACGCGTGCGCGCCAAGGCCGAGGCCGCCACATACGCACACGCCACACGCCACGTGCCCACACTGCCCTGCTGCCCCGCCCCGGTCCTTTATCATCAAGATCCGGGATGCATGCTGCTGCCAGGGTTTGAACATGGGCAGCTGCTGGCCATGCACGTGCATAGCCACCACTGTAACACACTGGCCATAGTGTGTGTATGGCTC